GGGTCTTAGAAGGAGACCACCCAAATGAGGATCTCTGAACCCCTCAAGTTAGTCTCAGGGTAAGTCCACCTCAGCAACAATGTTTGTTGAACAAATAAATAACATTAGGCTTCAGTTGCTATATCTAAAAGTAAAATTTTGTCTAATGTTTTAGAAAATATAGCAAAATCCAAATGAAATTTTGAGCTCCTAGCATGGTGGTACTCGAGACACTCTTGTGATGTGATTTGGTCAACCTCAGTCAATGTGGAGTTTTATATGATAAGGACAGTTGTGTTTATATTAAGACCATATTAACCTTATAATTGCATAATGCCTGTCTTCTACTGAGTTGAACATTTTGCAAAAATGACTTTACAAAACATTTCATGTCACCACATCAAGATGAAAGAACCAAATGCTATCATTTACCATGCCATGAGTAGGTAAACTGACAAACCTGCCGCAGAACCTTCATTAAAATACATTGTAATTTCTGTACTGACCACAAGACTAGTAACGTGAAATATGGACATAGTTTCCTTTCCCATTAAAACTACAAAATGTCTAGCCCACCTTTTTCACAATAATTTTTAATATGGGAGCCATGACCGCATTACTCTTTTTTATAGCATAAATACTTCACAGTCAATAAAGTGAGTTTATGTGAACTACAAAAATTGTAACCCTAACATGAATTTTCAAAATGTGCAATATATCTTGGTAAGGGAAGGATATTATCCTCTTGTTTTCAACCACTAAATCATTTAACTACTTATTTTCAAAAATTAAAAAGTAAATAAATGTTTTCCAATTTTATTTCTAGTCATTTAAAACTGTTCTAGTCCTAAGTTTCATAAAGTAATGTAATACCTTAAAGCCCTATTTAAGTAAACAAAGAAAACATTAAAAACACTGGAGTTTAAAAATAATGATATTCATTAATTAGTATATCCTCTCTTCCCCCTGTCTACTTGGACTATTGTTTTGGTTCTAAAGTGTTACATCACCTTGATTCATTACTGTATTGATGTTAGATAAACACAGAAACCTGTTTGTGAGAAATATATTTGGCAAATAGAATTACAAAAATGATGTTAAAATGTGGGGAGGAGTCCAGACAGACATCAGATGATTAAATTTGAGATAAAGGAAAACCTAGAGTGGAACCCTTGCTTATGGCCCTCACGGTTTGGAACTCCACAACTTGGCCACAGGAATGCAAGCCATGAAAAGCACACAGCAGAACCAGAGGCCCTGGCACACCCCAGTGGAACCTCAAATGTGCTAAATCAACAATTTCTATATAAATCATCAGGTAAATACACTCAACTGGGTCAAGTTCACCTGGGTGTCAGGATCTACTTCCATGTGAATCACCACATTCAATGAGAGAAACTAAAGGAATTTCCCAGATATAGACTGGTATAGATATGTAAAATGTCCGAATAAAAATATTTTAATAGCCTGTAACATCATATCCACCTTAAACATACATACCTCACATCCAGTAGTAAGAATTTTTCTTCCTCATAACTAAAATTCCTAGTTGTCAAACTGAAATTTTAAAACCTTAGCTTTGCTTGAGAGTAAGCCAGTGTGTCTACTTTTTCTAACATTCTTCTATAGTGCTCACATTTGCTTCCTGATTATGCCAAGAGGAGTTCTTAAACTTATAATTTTTTGCTGGGAACATCAGAAATAATATCTCTTAAATTGCACTGGAAAATATTGGGGAGTCACACCCTTTGATTCACTTGCTAAACTTCCTTAATAAAGCCAACAAAAAGCTTTCAGAGGTGGAATTTTATACTAGCAAATGTCAATTCAGACCTGTTAAAGACAGTGAACAAACTTGCCTGCTACAGCAAGCATTCCACCCAAATTGACTAGGTGTGGCTTTTATTCATTGTTCATTCATACTCAATAGAATCTGTTCTCTAGCTACCATCCCATTTAGGTTGACATTCCCTTTATCTGGGGGCTTATAATAAGCAAATCATATTCAGTTTTGCAAAGGCAAAATTGGTATCCTAAAAGCAGATCAAAGTATGCTTTGTGGAAAGACCCGAAGTTCAAGCCAGTGATACAAATGGGTTTTAATATGCAACCATACAAATACCAGGACTGGAAATTTTTAAAACAAAAGCTTGACGTTTTAGGAACAAGAATCAGATTATTTGGGCGGGGGGTGGGTATTAAAAGGGATAGAAAGTTGTTTGGGGGAGAGTAGGTACCAGAGAAATTAAGTAAAATTATATGTTACTCCTTTAATAATATCACGATTCATAATAATTTTTTTCCCAAATCAGACTTGTAAATGCCACTTAGAATTGCTCACACTAGCTCAGTTATACCACATCTGCAAAGCAGCTTCCTAGACCACAGAAGAGGAGCATACCAACCATATTGGGTTAGATTTTTTTACATATAACAACTGCAGAAATTAATCTTTTATCAGTTTATCACATCACAACAGCTATCATTAAATAATCTACAAGGTAGAGAAGCAATTTCCAATTGTTCCCCGGGGTCATCTAAGTAATGCCTTGTATCCTGCGATATGCTATAAAATAAATTGTACTCCTGTGAGTCATATCAGTCATCTTTTCCATCTGAAATATAAAATTACCCTCATTGAAGAAAAGAAAGGGAAATGTATTCTCTTACAGAAGGCATGTAGAATCAAATTGGATAGCATAAGTCAAGAGGCTGGAAAACTCAATGGATTTCTTATTGGATTCTTACAAAGCTACTTCCTATTCTCCACTGTAAGCCAGCATGATCAATAATGCGTGAAGGGTTAAGACTTGGAACAGAGAGACTCTAGCAGAGGCTAAATAGAAGGTGTATAGTCTGATCCTTCTGTACCCCTACTATACCTCACACCTTGCTCTCTGAGTCCCTGAAACAGAGTATTTGAATGGTGCCCTGAAGCTGTCACTTGACCTTTGAAAAGACATATGCTCTAGCTCCATGGGAAATGCAGGGCTCAGGTGTCTGATAATAAAATCTGGCTCCTATTCTTTGCTCAGTTTGATATTGGGACATCCCATGAGAGGCTGAGAGTACTAACAGTGAATTAAAAGCTCCTGTGCTCTAGTCACTTTTGACCAACATCCTCCCATCCCTCTCACCTCCAGCCCCTGGCAACCACCCTTCTACTCTGTTTCTGAGTTCAACTTTTTAAAGATTTTGCATATAAGTGAGAGCATATAGTATTTGTCTTTCTCTGTCTGTCTAATTTCACTTGGCATAATGCCCTCCAGGTTCATCCGTGTTGTCTCATTTCACAATGTATACATAAATCACCACGTCTTACATGTTAAATATATACAACTTTGTCAATTATACCTCAATAAAGCTGGGAAAAATAACAGCTCTCTTGCTTTATTCCCCATCTACTCACATTTTCTGGACTCACCAAGTATGTTCACTTCTCTGTAGTTTTGCTTACACTATTCTCAGTATCTATAATGCCTTCTTTCCCCTATTCCCTCGTAAGTAGGAAGCAACTAAGATATGTCAGCATGTGAAAGCCCAGGAAAGAGTTTTAACAAGGAGTTCAACCATGTAAAGTATTACTGAGAGTCAAACAGCTTTGAGGAGCTCACTGGCAACCTTCTGGGAACTAATTTATCAACATAAGTAATCAGCATTGAGTTCCAAGGCAAATATTTTTGGCAAACTAAGTAGTACAAGATAAATACAATCTATTTATTTTACTTAAATCTGTCTAGACATTCTGGAAATACAGTATCATGGTGCAAAACTTTAATGACTCATCAATGCTGTCCCCCCACCTGGTTTTGCATTGATCTGTAAAGAGGTACTAGTTAAAGGGTGCCATATCAACACAGATCTCTTTGAATCCTGAGAATCAATTGTAAAATCAGATAGGCTTTGCTGAGAGCAGACCATCCTATTCCCACATTGTTATTGCATCTAAATACTACATACATATTTCAGCTTTCAGTGTGTTTATTACATAGTCACTGATGAAATGGGTAACAAATAAAGGTAATATACAGACTTTTTAAATTTATCTTGTTAATGGTTTAAAGGAAGTAGACCTGCTGAAATTAGAATGTGGCACCACTGAGTTAAATTTTAGATCTGAAGAACTGCAGCAGAAAAAGTTTTCAATCCCCCCTGAGAAGTGTAACAGCAAAATGCAACATTATATTTTAAGGTAGCAGGACAAGATGAATTCCCAACAGCACAATATGAACAGAGATAGCTTACTTACTTTTTATAGGATCCATTTCAACTCACTGATTCACAAAAATTAGACACTTGTCTAGAATGACACCATAATCATACTAATTTCTGCAAAGGGAAACTGTAGCTACGTTAACATAAAACCACCATCAAACACCTGGCTTTCCTCAAGACCGTCAAGGTCTTGAGAAATAGGGAAAGACTGATAAATGGGCACAGAAGAGAGGAGAGAGGGGAGACAAAATTCAAATAAAAGCAGCATGGTACCTTGGATTAGACACTGGAATAGAAAGATTACATTAATGGAAAACCTGGTGAAGTCTGAGTAAAGCCTGGAATTTAGTTAATAGTGATGCATGAATGCCAGTTTCCTGGTTTTGACAAATCTACCGTGGAAATATAAGATGTTAACAGTGGGGAAAACTGGGTTGAGGGATACTATGGGAACTTTCTGTACTACTTTTGCGACTTTTCTGTAAATCTAAAATTATTTCAAAATAAGAAGTTTATTAAAAAGCAACAACAACAAAACCCCCATCAAAGAACAAGGAAATTTGTTTGAATTGATGTCTTAGAATCCAAAGGTTTCCATGTAATAATAATCAAAGCTCCAATCCAACACACCTGATTGTTCCCTCCACATGCACGGCTCAGTACTGTCAGTTAACATATCAACTCCTGTCCTAAATCTTGCTGCAGCTATCTTCCCCAAGTCCCTGCAAGGTTATTTCAACGTAGATAGGTATTCTTTTTTAAAAAAGACATAGATTGGCAATTTTCAAGACATAGCTGTGACTTACAAGTGATGACATTTGAGCGTTCTGGAGCATAAGCTGCATTTGCTGGGCGAACATGGCTGCGGCAGTCTTCTGTTGAATCAGATTGTTCCGTCCATTAATCTCCAGCTGCGTCTTTAAGTGTGGAGGAGGGTGAAGGTACTTGCAGTTCTCTCGAGTACACCGACCCTAACAATGAAGAATGTGACAAATTTGCATTTAGTATTTCTAAAAATCGGATATGGTTAAGAAAATAAGAGTTTATTAAGCTCTTAGCACATGCCAAGAATTGTACTAAGCTCTTTACATGAATTAACTCATTTAATCTTCATACCAACTCTGTAAATTTGATACTCTTATAATCTTCATCTTCCAGGTGAGAAAACTGAGACTAAGAGGGGTAAGTGGATGCACAGCTAAAAAGTAACAAAACCAGAACTAAAACCCAGTTAGTCTGATTCCAGAATTCATTCCTTTAACCACTCTGCTCTACTCTACTTTGACATGCATCAAATTATATTTAAAACATGAACTATCAGGAATAGAATATCATCATAACATTACAGATTTAAATAAAAATTTTCCAACGTGAGATGTAAAATCATGCATATTTAAATTAAATAAGCCTTGGGATTTGGATCTACATCTACAAATAATCAAAAAATTTCAGAGAAAATATTTAATTACACACACATAAATGTAGAAAGTTTGGACTCTATTATTTGGGACAACCTAGGCTCCAGAGCTCTTTATCTTGAATCCATACAAGGGGAGAAACATCCTGAAATCCACTCGCATTCTGTTAAAGAATAAATCCCTATACCTGGCAGCTGTGTTGTTCTTTAGGTGCCGGAGGCAGTGACCCTAGATCATTTGCATAATGGAGAACAAAGTGTATTTTGGATCCTCAGCTATTTGAATGTTTTATTAATGGTTTAAGCACTTTTAAGACAGGAGAATATGTCAGTTCTGTGGGATCACACATGCCTTAGGTGTCACCTAAATGCTGACATGGCTGCTGATTATGATGTTTATGTAGTAGCAAAAGATGTCACTGGACTGGTTGTTTATCACATTGTCATAATGTGACCTCTTATTGTGTTTAACTCATAAATGCTACACAAAGCAGCTAATGATTCTCTCATTTGGATTAATGGGTCCACCAAGATCTTTTTAAGACAAGCACAACTGTACACAATTCTATTTCCCACAGATGCTAAGACTCTTTACGGTACCTGAAGTTATGGGGAGGGGAGGGAGAGGAAAAAAGGGAGATTTTTTTTTTATTGGACCCAAGAGTGCAAGTTGCTGGGCCACCTGAATTCTCAGGAGAAAAATGAGTTCGTTCACCAAGTGTTTTCATTCAACATATGCTATGTATTTTCCTTATTTACAATGTCTTAAATGGTTTACGTAATTACTTTTCCATATTGAGTTATCTTGTTATTCAAGCATTCCTAAAATTTCACTGAGAATCAAGGTGTGTCCTTCAAAAACTTTATAGAGCTACATATAATGCAAACTCAGATGCATTGCAACTGCTCTTTTAAATATTAGATCACCGGGACAAGGTGGCTCTATTGTTTTTCCTCTCCTGGCAAGAAACTGAGTATAAATTAACACCTAGTCTGAGAAATTAAAAGATACACTATTGTTTTCTGTTGAGTTTGTCCTTTGGTTTCTCCCATTGCTCAATTTACTTTTAATCAAATTAAAATGACTTACAAAATCAAATAATATCTTAGTTTCAATGTACCTTTATATTTCCATGCAAATCCTGGAAAAAGAAGAATTTATTGGTAGTATGAGTTAAGAATGGTATTAACCCTAATCCTCCCAAGTTCATAAAAGTAGCCTGGGAATAGCTACATAATTTCAGCACATTTAAGGACTGTACAGAGATCCTAGTATGTGCTAAAAATCACAGTAATAGGGGTCTTTTCCCCATTAATGTACCCCTAAGAGAAACCATAAGCTTCTTTTTACACCGACCACAACCTGCACCAAGGTAAAGACAGTCACAAGGATTTTTGCCCCTTAGGTTCTCCACCCTCCACCCACATAACTGAAGTTATCTGGCTCAGAATTAACAGTCCAGAGGAGGCAGCAGCACTTAGTGACTTCCACAGCCAAGCACACTAGTTTACCCGTCTACTTTGGGGTTTCTCTTCCCCCTCCCATACCCTAACATTAAAGATTTCCCCAAGGCCCAGTTCTAAATCCTCTGCTCTCCTCTCTAATCTCTTTTCCCTGGAGAACTGAAGTTGTTCCAAAGTTTCATCTATCATCACAATTGCTCAGATCTTAAATCTCTTTCTCTATCCCTGACCTCTCTTCTGAGTATCAGTCCTTTTTTATGGCCATTTGCAGCTGCATTTGGAGATCCTGCCCCCTAACTAGGTATAAATAACTTACTCCTAACCTTCCTTCTCCTTTGACTATTTTTCATCTTGCTGCATACTCACATTTAGGGCCATCACTTTGATTTCTGTGCTTTAGGGTGGTTACATAGCAGCAGTGAGAAAAGAAATTAGGCAGCTACTGAGCAAGATTGCTTTAGGATTGCAAAGCCACCTAGACAGCTTGCCCAGACAATTAGCACATACAGCCATAGAATCCAATTTGTAACCCCCTGCAAGAAAACCTATAAGATGAGGACTGTCTTTCATATTCAAGAATTCTAAACAGTAGATGAGTTTAAAAAAAAAGAAAGAAAAAAAGAATAATTGGGATTTTACAGTTTGTTACAATTTAGAGTTTTAATATCATGTATTTTGAATGCAATCAGAGAGATGGAAAGGGAGGAAGAGAACACAGTGTATTTGGCACATTTCCCTGTCAATCTACTGATAAAGAATTGAACATGCCTTTGTGCTTTTATATCACTGTTCTTTACATACAGTAACTTTTCTTAAGCTTTTTCTTGGGAAACTAATGACATGTTTACAAAGCAAAAACAGTACACAGAAATAGGAAAAAAATGAAAATTACACTTTAAAAATTACATCAAGTTGGGCTATAAAACTAAAGTATGGAATATGAGCCAGCATGAGATTTAAAGGAATTTATTCATCTTAGTTATGAGATTTTACTTGATTTATAAAGCATTCTTTTTTGAATGACAGAATCCATAATTTAATTCTATAACAATGCAAATGCATAGCAATACCACCTTACCAGAGACTGCTGCTTATGTTAAAGAAAGCTTATAAAATAAAAAAATCTGCATTTTCTATCCAAACAATAGATAAGGAGACCAAGTAATTTAATTCTATGTTATCTGTGGAATACAATGCTTCAGAAGAAAACCATATCTCTCATGTTTGTTCAAAATGACTTTAGAATTCAGCATAATGTATTTATATGCACAAAACTTGGTGATAATAAATCTCCTCTACATAGCATTCATTCTTTGAGTGGTCCAAACTTAATTATGGGCCAAAATACTTTAATTGGTGTTTGGAGGGGAACACGCTTTGTTTTTGACATTTGTTAATACTTGTTTTTAATCCTTGTAGAAGATCAAGGCTTTGGTAAAGCACGTTAGGATGAGATGCAGAAGGGGTAATGGGGGGATTGTCCCAGCAGAGTAGGTAATCACCTATTATTTTTGTCCTTAGGAAAACCAATGACTATGGACTAGAAAGCCCGCTGAGCACTGTGAATGGGCCACAAGATGCCCTATCACACTGGGTCTCTAACGGCCCAGTGTGATAGGGTATCTTGTGCTGTAAATAACAGCCCACTGTGATAGCCCAACTACCATTTTGGATCTGAAAAAATCATCCCTCAGGTTTCCCTAGACAAGCCAATGGTGCCCCACGCCCCCTTTCTTCCACTCTAGACCCACAGGTTCTGAGATACCCCATACTAGTGCAATCTTAGACTATATCATAAATGACTCTATAAATGTTGTACCTATGATAGTCACCATCCTCTGATAGAGCAGGCTATATCCTAAAAACAGCAGCTAAGACTAGTCAAGACATGTAAATCAATCTCTCCCCCTACCCCCATATACACACAAAATTAAAGAAACATTGAAGAGATTAGAGTGCAAGGTCATTTATGCTCATCTCAATTTCCCTCCTTTTCCATTTCCTTTTGGCCTTAAAAAACATGTTATTCTCATCTAGTTTTTCACTGTGTTACTAAGTTAAGAAAATAGCAAAGTGATTCAATAGGAAAGTGATTCTCTGCTGAAATAAATGCTACTACACCTATGAATCTTTCAGCTCCCCCTTTCCCATCTACTGTCTTTGAAAATGCACCCAAAAGCAGCAGGGGGAGAAAATGGCCAATGACATTTCTGAACTAGATCTGCATCAAAAAGTTGATGACAGATAAAGGAATAAGTTGCAGAGCATTTATAAAACCTCCCAAATTCAATCTATTGCCTTTTTCCTACTTTCAGGCTTTTCACAAATGAGTACAAAGCCTTTGACTAAGAGAGAAAAGTAGCATTGTAGAGATTCAAATCCTACCTAAATCTAGGGAGTTATGAGAGTCAGAGTCTGTCAGATACAAGACTTCCCATGCACTTGGTGGGAGAAAAAAACCTGTGAAATGTACCTTTTTATGTTCCTGAGAGAAAGCCCTACCATCCATCAGAATAAGAAAAGCAACCTAGGAAGCTGAAAATTACCCTTTGTCAGTCACAATATCTTAACAGAAACAGCTGTTTGCAGAATGACTTGCTTCCTCAAATACACTTGGAGTTATAGGGGAAAAATACCCCTATATATCCTCTCTCAAATACAATTATAACTGGATTACTTCTTCAAAGACATAACCTCACTGATCTACTAAACTACCAAGAGTTAAAAGTTAAATTATTAAATACAGGGACCAAACAAATGATTTGTTCTATGAAGAAAAATGTTGTTATTACATTTTAATGATCATGTGTTAAATGAAAAATCCTAGTGATAATACTGCCCTGTGGTAACATACTTAGGTGCATAGACATGGGCTTCTCAGAGGAAGAAACAGTGATTTTAGAATTACAAATCATATGTTCTAGGTTGCCTGGTTCCTGCTAGGAAAAACCTGAAAGAGCTAAAATTGAGTCAGCATCAACATAAATTGAGTATTAGCCAGATACCAGTGTCCTAATGGCAAATGTCCCTCTTTCTTTCTCTTAAAATTCTATCTTTACAAAAATGGATATAATCTGCACCATTTTCTAC